AAAGCTTTGCTCTTTCTAGCCACAAGAAATTAACATGATTAGAAACTTAATTTTGTTTCCCAACTAGTAGATACCCCATAATTTTACAGATGATAGCCCATGCACCAATTTCAATGTGGCCAACTTGAAAATACCCTATACTATTTTATTATATCCAGTAGTCAAGCTACACTTTTACTTATTGATTTATTTTTCTATAAACATAATTTTCATTTAGTCAATCTAATTTCTTTAAATGAATTTGAAGATTCCTATACTTAAGTTATCTACTACTTAAACTTACTACAATATATAGGTATTATAAATAGTAAATAAATACATATAGGCTTTTGGATGATCACAAAAATCTTTGAAGATAAGTTATTCTGATTGATTAAGAGTTACTAGAAGAAGAAAAAGAACTAAACAAAATAAGCATAATAATTTATGAAAAAAAAAACCTTACGTCAAAGGTTCTCTCCTCGACTCACAGCTCGCATTTCATTTTGTTTTCGCTCATAATTAGAAATGGTTGCGAAAATGAATATGTTAACGCAGAAAACATAAATATGCATGCAGCTATACATACATGCACACACCCTCTCACACACACACAGACACCAGGTACACCTTAATATCCGACCTACGCACACATATGCCTATTTGTTGTGCTCTCTTTCATGTAAACAAATATTGGGCTGACTTTTGTGTTTATTTGCACAGTTGGCGGCGAATTTGCCGCGTTATTTGTTAAGGAGGGAGCGGGCTGTTGAAGGGGGACCCTGAAGAGAGGGGCACTGAATCGTGTATATGTATGTGTGTGTGTGTGTGTGCTACTGTCTGCAGCCAGTGCCACGCCCTCGCGCTGCCTTGACCACAGGCGGAAAGCTGCTGCACTGGCTGGGCAGAAGAGGAGCATAAAAATGAAAACAGTTCGAGGCGCGAGCTATTTGCATTTGGCTCATAACTCTTTTGATTGCAAATAAAAACCAGGGACGGGTGTTATACAAATGTTGTTGTTGTTGTTACTATTGTTGTTGYTGCTGTTGTTGTTACCTTCTGGTGCCGTGCTCGTAAAAAAGGCCAGACGCGAGTCACACCCACGCCCAGGAATCCACGCTGAGGCATCCTTCAAAGCAAGACACCCAGAGAGCAATAGAGAGGGTGACAGGGAGAGAGAGAGAGAGACAGAGCGACAAGGGATCGAGGTAGCCAGGCACATGCAAATGAAGTTTGTTTTTATTGTTTGGTCCCCAACAACATCGACAACAACAGCAGCAACAACAACAACAGCAACTGTTTTTTTTTTTTCGAATACTGTCAACCAGGCAGACACTTAATGGGTTTTTTCATCTGCATTGGGAACGTCACTGGGTTGCCGAATGGGTCTCTGTCATGGCTGAGCATGCGTAATGAAGCTTAAGTAGAACTGGTTATAAAAACTGCCGAAGCGCATAAAAGAACATGAAAAGGTGTTGTACGATGCGCTCCACACAGCTCTCCTTTGCCTTTGCTCCGTTGCTCTACTGCTCTGCTCTGTTTTGGCAGTAGCCTAACGAACCGAAAGGAGCTGCCACCGTCAGCTTCAATGAGTTGGGGAGATGAGCTGAGTGTGTGTCCCAGTGTGGGCTAATGCTACAAAAGCATGTCCAGACCAAAGAGTTAGACAATGTACGAAAAGTGCTGAACAGCCAATGCAATGGAACAGCTCTCTATGAGAATTACAGTGAGAGGACAAGGCACTCAAAATGAGAATGGTTAGCAGAATGAGTAGGTAGAGATCATAGAAGACTTTGAATGTAAACCTCATCGCTAGAAGAATTGCAGCGAAAGATTTTGCAAGTATTTGTACTCTAAGATTATGAAATATATGTGAAATATATTTCTAATAAAAGAATTGCAGCGAAATACTGTGCAAAGTTATTTAAAATTGGAGCTGATCTGTTTTGCTATTAAAATTTTCGATATAGCAGGGGATATATAGAGAGAAGGGGATATTGGGAGAGAAGAAGACAGATATTTAAAGATAAAGAGATCGATAACTTAGTATGAAAAGCATAGATACATAGAGATCGATTAATATGTAGACAGATAGATCGATATATACAATGATAGGCAGATAGGTATCGATTAAACGATTTCTCCGCGTTCCGCTTATTTTGTACTATAACTTATTTTCATATAAAGCATATATGGTTCTCTAATGCATATATCATTCTCTTAAATATATCATGTTTACCTCTCTCTCTCCCTCCTTCTTTCATTCTCTCTCTTTAAAATGTATTCCCAGCTCAATTCAACAGTTGTAAAAATGAAGCTTTACACCAAACCACAAATCTGTTCCGTGCAGCCGGGAGCTGCCTCTCCTCCTTTTCAGTCCGCACGCTGTCACGCCTTGCACCTCCAGCCAGCTCCCATTGCATTCCCATTGCCCAGGACGTTGGGCATTTCACTTAACACCGTGCCTGACTGGTTTATGCGATACATGTCCTTTGCAAGGAGCAAGCAAACAGCGAATGCCATTATTCTTACATGCACACTTCATTTATTACCCTCTATCTCTGTCTCTGTCTCTGGCTCACTCTCTCTCTCTCTCTCTCAGTCTCTCTGCGCCCTTTCTCTCCTTCGCTGAATGTGGCATTATGTGTCAGTTATATGCATGTCGTTAGTTTTCATGACACTCAGGTCCAAGGCGCGAGTGCTTTTTGTCGAAAATCAATATCTGAGCGCTGCTCAAGTTTTTACAGTTACCATTTTTATTATTTTATACATATTTACGTATGTATATATGTTCACGTATATTGTATATACGTAAATGGATGCATGTATACTCTCAGCTCTTTGAGCTGTAAGTGATAGCATTTTCACCTGCTCGCAGGTGTTGCACATTTATGCTCACCAGTGCTCCAATTGTTATTAAACGCAGCCACATACCCTGTAAATGCAAATTTCAAATAGATCGACTCATTATGCTGAATAGATGAGGAATGGGTATACAAATAATCAAGTGTATATCATGATTTTTTATAGGATCTTAATAGGACATTATATATGAAGTCTTAAGAAAATATTCGGAAAGTTCTAAGAATATTTTTATGCTGAACGAGTTTGCTTGATACTAAAAATTTCTAGAAAGTAGACTTTGGTTTACCTTAGTTAATCATGAATAGCTCTTTCCTCTATACGTCCCGTCTTATTTTCAAGACAAAGATTTATTTATTTCATGGTAAGTTTGATCTTTGTTTCCAGGGCAGCACCTAGTCGTGCCCACCTCATAGTCAAATATTGGCTTTGCGCTTTTGTGGCTATCATACAAATTCTCACACCTCGGTGCTACGTGTTAAAAATCTGTTTAATCACAAACTGTTGCGTAAAACACGCAGCACACACAGAACACACACACAATGACAAAATACACAGCATAAATCAGATGCAAAAATTCAATTAAATTTGTTCTCTCATATTCACACTGTATAACACATACACATATATAAAGGTGTATGTGTGTGACATTCGTTGCCTATTGTAAGGGGCGTGGCAAGAGACCCTCTAATTGATGGCAGCTTGGCGCAATATGTACAAATAAATATATGTATACATACACGTATGAATATATTCATGTGTGTATAAATTTAAATTGCTAAAAATTGAATCAATGAATCCAATTTAATTGAGCCAAACACAACGCAAATATATTAAATATGAACAAAAAAGTGCCCCAAAGCATTTCCAATTGTTTAAATTCAATTGAAGACTAATTTTTTGCATATAGAATAAATGAAATATAATTCGACTTTATAGATTTAATAGCTCAGATACTATTTTTGGATTTTTTTTTTTTTTTTTTTTTTCAATGGAAATATATAATTTTTAGTTATTAAAAATTTTCGAGCTTCTCTACACAAAACTTAAACCAGTTGAAACGGAACGGCAAAAGTATTTCCGTTGAAAAAACATAAGATGCTAATCATTTGTTTGGAAAGCAAAGTAGATAATAAATAAAACTCAATTACTTCCGATCAGCATTACTTTGTTTTAAGGAATTTTCAACAGATGGAAAATCTATATAATTATCATAACCAATTTAATAACTGAGTACAGACCCTCCTTAATGACCAACTGAACTCTATCATTCACTAAAGACAGAATATTTTTACATGCTCATTTTATAGAACGATTTAATACAATCAATTTCTATTAAAATAAGCAATGATTGAAATTAAAGTCGATATTTCACTAAACATACAAATTTTTTTTAAATAAATGTTTAACAACCTTTTCAGTCCGCCCAACTGAATCCAATCCATTATTTATTTCATACATTTACTATTCAAATTATTACACCAGGCACATTCGACATGCCTTAACGTCTGCATCCATTTGAAAATTGCAAAATATGATTTATTTCACAAAAAACAAACATGTTTTTCGACAATGTGCGTATTGTGACAGAGTCGACTCGACTGCCAGATGCCTTGTAAGCTGATGGACAGCAATGAGAGATGAGAAAGAGAAGAATATCAGAAAACATACTGTAAAATATAATCGATTGAATCAAATTTTCAACTACAAATCACGAACAGTAGAGATTTCTATATACAGATTTTATCTTTCTTAAAACTGATTTTTAATTTCAATGATATAAATTTCAAGTAATATTCTTCAAATTGGTTTAAGAAAGATATTAAAATAAATGTATATTAACTTTGATAGAAAGAAGTCATACCTCATGCTAAACGGTTTGCAGGGTATATGCTGATCAGACATATACATATGTACGAGTTATATGACTTTACGTGGTCAGGTCATGAAAATTGCGCGTGGAAAAAAAACCAAGCTGAAAGCGACTAAGAGGGAGGCACTACAAGGGTCTGGTTGCCCTGAGTGGCATATGCAACAATTCGCTTCGATAAGATTCAATTTTTGCCACATTTCAATTTCAACTTTCATATGCTCCTTCACACTCCCACACACACACGCACAAGCACACACACACTCATGCTCCACTCACACTATTGCAGGAGGGCTATCAATCAGATCAGGCGCCTGGCTCGATGACCGCCCAGAAGCTGCAGGAGGTGGGCACCCCAGAGGCAGTGCAACTGAGTCGTCGGCGCTATCAGGATCAGATCAGAATCAGAACAAACGAATTGAGTAAGTATGAAGCAATAACAAGATACATACATACAAAAGCACATATTTATATTGAGCTGCGTCTGCATGTAGAACAGCGGCGCCTCGATCCACACGTTCGGGCCATAAAAACTGAGCTAAGCAAATGCAAATGCTAAATGCTAAAATGCAAACTTTGTTGGCATTCCATTTCTGGCTAAACACAATGTCTTCTTCGTGATATTTATGGCCTGACACGTGACTGGAAGCTGCTGTAGGGCCCCAGACTGACGAAGAAGTCCAGTTAAATCCAAAATAAAAAAAATTAAATGGAAAGAAAAAAATCTGCAGACACTTTCTAAATGGGCCCCCATCAAAACGGAACGAACGCACCAAAAGAAGTCGCTGAGAAACTGGCTTCCTCTTTCTTTCTTTTTTCATGCCTCACCCAACTTCAGAAAAATACTCAACCAAATACCAGACATTTTCTCTCCCTCTCTCTCTCACTCTTCGCCCATCTCTTTCTGCACAGTTTCGGTGCAATTAAAACGACTCAACTTGTCAACTTTGTTTTTTTTTCTCTCTTTTTCTCTATAAATCAGTCGATGCTCTAACTCTTTCTTTGAAGACTTACTGGTGTACTAATTAGTTAGTCTGGCCCCAAAATAGTTACGTTACAATTTGTTTAGCAAGTAAAAACTGTTTCTTGGGCATGCTGAAGAATTTTAAATAGGGTCTTTTGTAATCTAGACAAATAATATTTGTATTTGTGCTCAATAATAATTTTTATAAATATTTATTTATTGCTAATTTTGGTATAGCAACTCGGTCCCACATTTCCAACTTTGCAGTTAAAATTAGCCGTTATCTTCTACATTTAATTCGAATGCCATAGAAACTGAAATTTGAATGTCGAATTATTTAAATATCATTAGACATAACTTCAGCCACTTTATTATTATTTAACTATTTTTTACTTGAAACCAAGCTTCAACATGCTCTTAAAAACTCTTGGGACCTTGATCTACTTTATAACTGGCTTAGTAGAGCAAATTTCTAATAAATTTAGCCAGAAATTATATGGCGGACTTTTTAACCTTTTCCTATTATTAAATTAATAATTTTTAATGCATTCTTCTGTCAAAAATGCCTTAGACTCTAATTCAAACTTTGTCCTGTAATTTCACTGAGCTGGTTTACAGAAAACACATTATATATATATTAGAGCTTAATAGAATTTTGTACTTGAAAAGCAGAAAAATAGAAAACCAACTAATTCTGTTACACATAATTATACCTGCTACTGTGTGTACAAGTATATGCTATATACATATGTAGCATATTTTATGAGCATAGAGAAGAGTATTGCGTTGTCCATAGTAAATCACACATTCCATTCGCTACTGTTGCGACTGTGGTATTTTTATACCCTGAACCCATTGAAAATGGGAAATCAGGGTATAATGGTTTTGTTAAAAGTATGTAACAGGCAGAAGGAGGCGAACGAGCTGAGTCGATTTGGCCCTGTCCGTCTGTCTGTCCGTCCGTCCGTCCGTCCGTCCGTCCGTCCGTCCGTATGTATGAACGCGTCGATTTCAGAAGATATAAGAGCTAGAGACTTCAAATTTTTTTTAAAATGTCCGTAATTACAGCGCGCATATCAAGTTTATCATTAAAAATCGATAACTCATCCCGATCTTTTTTTATCGATAAAAAACCTTATCGAAAACCAGTTATAAAATTATATCTTCTACACCTTTATTGCTAGAGTCTCCAAATTTTTAATGTANAACAGCAGCAACATTTGCTCACGCCTGGCCATTGACAATGAAATGTGAGCTCATCGCGTGTATCTTTTGCGTTCCCACTTCCACTCGTCTGGAAAATTGCCATTTAAAGCGCGTGAAAACTGTTTTTTTTTTTTTTTTTTTTTTTTTGTCTTGTCAGCAAAGCCTTATGCTTATTAGAGTTTAGTAACAATTGGGTATGTTAGGTTGGAAGAACAAGTTTAAGAACACTTTAGCTTTACTCTTTGCTTTAAATTGTTCAATACAAATTTAACTATTCCATTCGAACCTGTTCCTATTAAGTATCCGTTATTGTATCCAAATCAAATATTTTGTACCATAAATATTTGTTAGTATATAGGTATACAATGATAATATATTCTGGATTTTTTTTTCAGAGTAAGGTAAAAATATAATGAATAGGATCTCAAGATTTACATAAACATTAAATTATATTGAATGTTAAGATAAGTAACATCATTTTAAGAGGCATCTGCAAGTCGAGCAGTCAAGTATATTGCAAACCGTTAAGCGCGTGTGGACAGCAGCGACGTCACCGCAAATGAAAGTGTGTCACTAAGCCTGGGAAATTGTTAGCTGATATGYCTCGCTGTTGTTGTTGTTGTTGCTGCTGTTTGTCGCCGTTGTCGCTGCTGTTGCTGTTGTTGTTGTTGTCTCTGTTGCCTGGGCTGTGGCTGGGCTTGCCGGCATACACAACTTGCCGCTTTAAATGCGTAATGATGCAACAATTTTCTTATCACATTTTTGTTGTCGTCTGCCGCGAATAAGTGGAAAGTCAACTCTGGAGTTGGCCACGAAATTGCCATCGATCGATTCCTATAAATTGACTCCTGGCTTAAGTGACATGTGTTTGCCTATTAACCGTTATCTCAAGTGCTTGTGCAGTCGTTGCTAACATATATCATTATTATTGTGTGCGCATGCAATTTTCATATACTACTACGGCTTGACATTGGCATGCCTGCGATACGAAGCGAGCCATAAGTCGAGCTTTAGCTGCAAATGCATTTATTATGTTATGTTAATCAATCATGAGAGTTCGATATCGAAGTGCATATGTAGTCTGCCATGGTATTTTGATCGTGGAAATAATTGACGTATGTCTATGATATTTCAAATTAATTTTGGCTTCCTTTATGAAGACATAAAATTTAAAATTATTCTATAAATCTTCATATGTGAATCTTCAAAAAATACTTATTTCTTATAATTTATTTTTATATATTCTTTAAATATTTTTTTTTTTGGATATTTATTTCTTAGTTTTTTTGTACTCAGCTCTCAGGCGCGTTTCATGCGCGTTTTTAAACGCAGTTCAATCAACTACATACATTCAAGCACGCCGTTGCACTTTTCAATGCCAATTTATTTTTTTTATATAAGTCATATATATGCACCTGTATACCTGTGCGCAATCCTATTGTTTTATCAACGCCCATACGCAATGCGAGCGTTTTGCTCGCGTTTTATATCGCGCGCATTTTTTGCTTGCAAATTGCTTTTCAATTGTCAAAGGGCTTAACAATTATATCACGTAATATGTAATACCAAATCTGGATACATGGATTGTTAAAAAATAATATAATAAATAAACTGAGATATTGAATAATAATATAATAATAAACCAATATTGTTGAATGGCAGATATATGTATACATACATATACAATATATAGTATTTATTTATAGATCATTATCATATTTTATCTGTCAATGTAGGAGAACCTATCAAACAAACTTGATTATATGTTCATATTAATATTTGATATAATTTATAAAAATAAAATTTCTCCTGCTAAGCATATTTTCTACAAAGTTCCAGGGTATTGGCAGTCGTGCCAGTTGCCCTGAACTATTTTTGTTTGTATTACTTTCTTTATGGATCGGCAGCAGCTTTGCACCTTTATTGCTTTAATGTTGTTTACATTCCATATTGTTGTTGCTGTTGYTGTTGCCGCTGTCGCCAAAAGCCAATAAAAAGGAAACGCTGAAATTTTTAGCATACGCAACGGCTTTTTATACCCCAGTTATCAAAGTTGTCCCAATTGTTGTTGCTGCTGCGGTTGCTGCTGTTCAATGCAGTTAAAAAAAAAACACACACACACACAAACAGGGGATTGCAAGCCAATAAAGTCATAAAATTGCAATAGCAAAAAAAAAAAAGGGCAACAGATGCAAATACGAAATGAAGGTGTGGGTGTCACGCAACGAAATCCGAAATGCGAAACAGAATTGCAATGAAAATCAGATCAAGCTACTGACATTTGAACAGTAGAACATATGCGCATGTGTATGTTTGTATGAGTGTAGGTATATATATACATATGTATATGACACGATTGAATTATCAACTTGGCAGACAACATGGCAATTGCCTTAGCCCCAGTCTGAGTCGCCGCCCTGCTCCATGAATTATTCAAGTGCGCAAAATTTGTTATTGCCCCAACGAGGCAAGACGCAAGAGCAGCAGCAGCAACAGCAACAGCAGCAGCAGTAACAGCAGCAACAGCAGCTGCTGTCTTTGAACTGGCCTCCCTCCCTGCACCCGCTTGCCCTTTGGCAGTTAGCCGTGACCATGCCACGCCATGCCACGCCCACCCACAAGCCCATATAAAGTCATTATGCAGCTATAAAATGCAACTGCAACTGGATTCCGAGTTGCCTCAAGTTACAGCTGCCCCTAGGCCAAATTCTAAACTAGCTACCCCAATTAGGAAGTAGATGGAGATAGAGACATAGACATTAAGATGTGAACCAAATGCCCAGACTATCTTTAACGCTTTATTAGCTCACTTAGCTAATTTCCCATATTGCATATTATTTCTCTACTCTTTCTAGACAACCTGGCTCGCTTGCACGAGAAGAGCATGGAGAACGAGCCGCTCTGCAAGCGGCCGCAGGCGCGAGTGATTCGCATGATGAGCGAAACATCGACGGTCTATTCGCCACGGGCCACTGTGCTCCATCGGTGTGACGAGAACAGCAGCTGCTGCTCGAGCAACGAGGTGTGGGCCGTCAAGAATCAGACGACCGTCGACAAGGTGTTCTTTATGCGCTCGATCCACAGCCGGCACAGCAAGGCGACAATTGTCCCGATGACCAACCACACCGAGTGCCATTGCATCAATCGGCCAGCGCAGAGGCGCAAGCGTAGCTCCCAATGCGAGTGCCCCAAGCACTTTATAAACTTTGCCATAACACCAAGTGGCGCCAGCAGCAGCAGCAGCAGCCCTAGCACAACGAGTCGCTGCCGCTGCGATTGCCACCTGAGCAACATCACGTGCCAGCGCATGAAGAACGGCGACGAGGGATTCGCCGTCTCAGAGCTCAAGTAATTGCAGTCAATCAACCAAAGCTACATCTAATATCCAAATCAAATAATATACCAACTCTTCTACAGATGCATTCGCAGCAACGAGTGCAGCCCGCCCATCTGCAGCTATGGCGTCTTCAACCTAAACATCGGCCGATGTCCGCGCTCAACGCAATCGCAGCCACGTCAACTGGGCTTTGGCTAAGCTCCGCTGCGATACATTCAGTAATTCAGAACTGTGCATACATTTAACTATTAACAGCTCCATACATAAACACATACATACATACATACATTTACAATCTGCATCAAGAAAAATATATTGAGCAAACATCGCCCACTGTGCAGCACAGTGGGCACAGTTCATACGCTTAGAAGCAGTCGAACATCATCAATATATATTTATATTTAGACTCATTCACGAAAGTGAAATGAGTATATTGGTTTTGTGCAATGTCCGTCTTGCTGTCCGTCCGTCTGTCCGTCTGTCCGTATGAACGCAATCTATTTCGGCGCTATTGAAGCTAGAGACTTGAAATTTGGAACACATACTCGTGTATATCTCCGATTTATAAAGTGTTAAAATTTTCCCGATCCGCCCACTAGGGGCGTGGCAAATCGGAAAATGCATTTTCCGATATACCAGAAATCATGTTTGTTGAAGAGCTAGAAAGCTGAAATTTGGTATGTAGGTCCGCGCCGATCACCCAAGATCACAAGCTATGGCGGATATATCTCCGCCCATTAGGGGCGTGGCAAATCGGANAGAAGCTTCAAATTTGGATAGTTAAGTTACTGGTGGCCTCCTCTATCGATGCCCCAAAAATCATTTTTAAGCCTCTTTAGGGGCGTGGCATATCGAAAAATACCCTGTAATTTTCACATTTTTTGAATAGAATATTCTTTGATTCGCATGCATTATTATATATATTATAAAAAAAACTTTCTCATCCCATGAAAAATATACGCTACATATAAATAATTTAATCATAAAAAATCAAGTGATTGAAATAATATATATAAAAGATTCAAGCTCCATTTGTTCACTAGATCTTATCTCTTATCTCATTTGATTAATACTTGGAGCAACAATAATGATATTAAATTTAATTATTTGAAAATTATCAGCACTCATTAATCGTATGATTGAATCTTTATAACACTCAATTAAGAAAGTTTTCATATGCTCTTTATGTTTCCCTCAAGATTTCATTCAACTGTGTTTGTAAAATAATTTGCAATATTTGTATGCATCAATTTTAAGAACAGTGCCATCAGTCCCAGGATTGAACTCAGCTTGAATGATTTTTCTAGAAACTTTCTAAATATTAAATTAAACTATTTAGCTCTTAGATCTTATTCAATCTCATTCATTCATTTATGTCTTCAATTAACTCTAGAGAACGTTCCATTCATTCGCAGTCATCTTGTAATTTAAGTGAACATATTAAAAAATTAATTTTAAATTAATTCTGCTTTTAAGCGTATGAACTAAAACACCTTGAAAAACATCATAAAGAAAAAAAAAACCAAACACAGTCAAAAATTTCGGAAACGAACAAAAAGTATTGAAACCAACTAACATTCAATTGTACTTAAGTTTCGTGTTTAAGCTACAACTGTAACTACTTACTATATATATATATACATCCATATATATCTGTAAACTTACTTTTATAAATATCTATTACAAATTACGATTAAACGATAAAGCTAGTCAGCGATTGCAGTTGAGTTTTCTATTTAGCCAAAGGGCCAACCAGCCAAGCATACCCAACGTTCCATAGACTGCAAGTCTAACGTCTAGTAGATGACGTTGCCAGAAATTCAAGTGCCTGGCGCTGCCAGATAGGTGCGGTGCACCCTTATGCCTAATCACATATTCCAGCCAATAGGCAGCCAAATCGCTGGCATTCAAAGGACGATCACGATACAACAATGAAGATCTTTGAATGCTCTCCCGGAACAGCTTCTCATTCAGCAGCCTCTTGATAGAGCACAACAACTCCGCTTGGCTCACATTGTGAATATCCAGGGATAAGCCCCAGCCCTTATTTTGCATTTTGCGTAAGTTTGGCCGCTGATCGCCTAGCAGAGGCAGGCCGAGCATAGGAACTCCATAGTAGAGCGCCTCACTGAGACTTCCCTTGCCTCCATGTGTGATGAAGAGTCGAGCCAGGGGGTGAGCTAACAGCTGAGCTTGTGGCCACCAATCCTCTAAATACACGTGACTATTTACCAAGTGAATAGCACTAGCATTAACTCCATCATATGTCCAGTATATATCATAATCCCTTAGTTGGGCAAAGGCATCCACAAATGCTTTCTCCACTTTGCCAGGCATTGTGAGCCAGCTAAAGCGCGTGCCCAGGCTGAAGACTATGAAAGGACGTCGAGGTAAGTTTAGCTCCTTTCGTTCCACCTGCTCCATTACTATGCCCCCAATATCCAGCATGCAGGGCAGCAGCGGACCTATGGGTCCCTCGCTGACCATGTGATGATTATTCAAGGCAAGTATTACTCGACAGCGCATTTCCTCGAAGCTAGGGTAGTGTGGTGAAGGAAAGTGAGTGCTGGAAAGATAAAAGGAGATTAATGAAAAGCAGGTGACTAAGATTAAAAGTAGGGGAGATTTTCTATACAGAATATCAGATATTTTATAACAGATCTAGTACAAAATATTTAGAATAACAGATTTAGCATAACAGATCTAGTATAGCAGATTTAGTATAGCATATCCAGTATAACAGATCTAGTATAGAAAATTCAGTAAAAATATCAAGCTTAACAGATCCAGTATAACAGATAAAGTAAAACATATCCAGAGCAGTATACAGATTAAGCACAACATATTCATTAAAATGTAACACATCTAGTATAACAAATTTAGCATATCACTTCTAGTATAACAGGTCAAGTATAGCAGAGCTGTGTACCTACATCAAGTTCGTCCTAAAACCAATCAATGTAAAAAGATCTACCCCAGTAAAAGATCTTTAGAAAATCTTAAAAAACTTCCTTGAATTGATCTATATTATGATCTATATTATGTTTGTCTTTGTCTCTGCAGATCTTTTAGGTGATGAAATTCTATATTTGCTAACTATAAATCCAGCTAAACATCGATATACTATATGTATAGACCCTACCAAATTTTGACAGCTACCTCACCTGTAAATCCGCTGCATGACGCGCCTGGCTAGCAGCTCTGACAGCTTCTCCCACAGTCCAAAGATGTAGCCTTCCAGTCCCGTTCGCTGGCGACTGTCGTAGGGCTGCGGCACATACCAGCGCTCCTCTGGGTTGCCCATCAGGCTGTGCACAAAGCCAATTGGCTGCTGAGTCGTGATAATGGCCACAGGGCAATCGAAATGTGCAGCGACGCCCAGAAGATGATCATTGAAATGGTAGCCTAGCAGCAGGAGATCATAGGGCGTTGCTGGAGTGTGCTCCATAAACTCTCGCCATTCGGGCTGATCGAGCAGTTCGCCCGATTTCTCCAATCTCTCAAGTGTCCATTGCAGACGAGTCAGAAAATTGGCGTGAGGCTCGATCAGCTGCTCCTTGGGCAACTGCCAGGGCAGCAGCAGATGCGTTACATTCGCCGTCAGCCAATCCTTCCCCAAAGATTGACTGGTTACTAGGGTCAACTGATGGCCACGCTGGAGCAGCACTCGGGCCACCGCCAAATGGACAAGCAGCTGGGATCGATGCACGCCCACAGAGAGGCACAAAATGCGACTGCCATGGACGCCCGCGGCAATCCAGCAGGCGAGCAATAGAAGTGGATAGCACAGCAAACAATTCATGACTGAGACCCACATCAGCTGCTCCTCATCAAATGCCCATTAACCGAGATTGGCCCTCCCCAATCCATCAGGCTGATAACAAATATGCCCGCAATTTGCTTATACAACAAAATCAAATCGAGGCAAAAGCCACAAGAACAAAAAAAAAAAAAAAAAAAAAAAAAAAAAAAGACCAAATGAAATGTTTTATCATAACAAAAGAGAATTGGAAAATAATATTACATGTTTGAGTAATAATGAGTAATACTTTTGACTGCATTTAAAAGTAAAATAAATAAAATAAAATTATTATAAAATGCATTTCCCATTCTTATTTGCTCTGCTTTATTTATTTTTTCTTTTCTCACTCTCTTTAAGCGATTTTTATGATGAAAAGATTTTGAAATCAGTAAATAAATTATTATATTAAAAGTTAACTGATGTGTATATAAAGATATATCAGTTCTCAGAATTAGATAAAATATGTTGCATTTACAATATGAAAAAATAAATAAATAAATATTATTTTTAATATTTCCGGGTATTATTTCTTGGGCAACTTGGAGAAATAATCTTCGTGGAATTGCTTTAGTATATGCCTGAACTGATCTGCCTGCTGGGCCAGCATGATCTTATGCTCATCGCTCTCATGATCGAGCATTTCATCCGCCTCGACCAGAACTTGCAGATAGCGCAGCCAATTAGCTTCCAGGTCGAGGATCTGTTCACGTGCTGCATCCGGCAAGGGGACTCGATATTTATGTAGAAGCACAAACACCTCCAGCATGGGCGTGAACCTGGACTGTTTCCCTGGCACCGCCTGAACGAGGCGCTCAAAGAGCTGATTGGCGACAATAGCTTCATTATGAGTGCGCGGCACACGCAACACTTTGCGCTCATTGCGTTCCATATAGCGGTAGAGAGCTGTAAGAGAGCAGAAACTCTGGATTAAGCTGTCAAGTTCTCTGGCTGTCTGAGCACAGCGTCAATCAGTCAGTCACTCTGTCAATCACGCTCATAACTCACCTTCGATGAGGCCCGTTGCATGCTGCAGCATTACTTGAATATTCAGAGCCTGCCACTTCTCAATCCAGTCGAGCAGAGTGCTCTTGATGGGATTCTGATTGATGAGCACAAAGTGCACGTGGGCAATGGCATCCATGAAGGAAATATCATCGGCTAGCGAGCTATAGTGCTCGATGCCCCCCTCGAACACGCGCGCTGTCTTGGAGCTGGCCAGCAGTCGCTGTGTAAACGCCTCCTCGGTCAGCTCCCAGAGCGCATGATGCGCCCGCCACTGGATCACATACTCCTCGATCTTCTCCTGCTGGCGTGCAATCTCTGCCTCGATACCGCGCACCAGTTCCGAGCATTCGGCATCCTCTCGAAATGCTCGCGCGAAATTCGGACGTCGCTTCTCCTTGGGAATCTTCAGCTTGTAGCCGAGCCGTGCAAACTGATCCACCAGACTCTGCACGCGATCGATGACGCCACGCAGCACGGCGCCAACAGTGCGCATATCGGGTGTGAGCTGTATTTGGGAGTCCTTCACGTCGGCCTCCATGACCAGAATAGGCCCAGGCGGCAGGTCCTCGTCGGAGCGCAAGGCATCCTGCAGCAGCTGCAATGCGTTGCGTGCGCAGCAGAGAAAGGCACTAGCCAGCATATCATCAAAGACGTTCACATACTGATGCCACTCGCTGGATTGCTAAATATATATAGAGAGATATATAGATAGATAGATAGAGCTATGCTACTTTACTTACTTCTTCTTGCATCTCCGCAAACTCATTGGCCACCGCTGTAATGAGCTCTACAATGGTGTTGTAGTACTTTCTCAAGGCACTGTTGCCGCCATTCAGGCAGCTGCTCAGCTGCTGCTCGAATACAGAAATATCCACAGCTCCATTAAAGTTGAATCGCAACATGGACGTATCGCAGATGCGTTCGCAGCAGCGCACAATTTGACGATTCGCGCGCTTGTAGAGCTGAATGATGTGACGCAGCTCCTCCACATGCTCCACACAGTCCGCCAGCCAATGGTCGTAGCTCTCATCAGGCTCCCCGGTCGAGAAGCCGGCATAGCTGAGCTTATATATGCCCGGCGCGAACTGGCGATCGACGCACTGAATCAGTGAACGAAAGAGCTTTCGCTCCCGTTGCGTTAGGCTGTTCACCAGGCGATTGTAGTCCAGGCAGAGGCGCAGCACGTTGTTATATATCAACTTCAGGGCATCCTGCTTCTCATAGATCTTGCGTATGGGCAGGGGCAGAGCGTAGCCCAGCTTCTCAAAGTGCTGCGCCTGCGAACAGAGCTGCAAGGCACTCGCATCCATGTTGCACTCCAGCAGGACCTTGGACTGCTTGCTGCGATGCACCAGATATCGCTCCAGCTTCTGGCACAGGTTACTGCCCGCCTGGCCGTGCCACTCCTCAAAGGCGATTCGTATCTCTCTCTCGAACTCCGAGCGCAGCAGCTCAAACTTGTCCATCACAGTCGCTGCCTGCGGCACAGCTGGCAGCCAGGTGGAGCCCGCTTTGGCTAGACGATCACGCAGCCAGATCAGGCGGTCCAGATTGATGCGGTAGGCCAGCGCATCGCTGACATGCGGAGGCAGCCAGGAGAGATGTTGCTTTCGTCGCAGCTGCAGCAACTGCCTGGTGGTTGTATCCATATCCTCGCTGAACCGCTGCCACAGACGAGTCACCTGGCCCAGATAGCATTTGCGGAGTGTGGCATGGTAGGAATAGTAGAGCAAGACATTGAGTGTTTCCAGTGTCTCCTCCACATTGCTGACACGACGAAAGGCATTCGAGAGGAGGCGCTGCTGGGTCTCCTCCATGCCTCGGACAGATTTCCGGTAGGCCTCCATCTTTTCATACCACTCGCTGCGATAGACGTCCAGCATTAGGTGTTTCGTATTGGAGCTGCGCAGCTGATCGAGCGTAGTCAGAAATTGCTGCTCCACACTCACCGCAATCCGCTCCAGCTGCTCGCCGTTGGTGCCACTGAACTGTACCTCGCCTATGCTCTCCAGCTCATCCATTCGCCCGAAAACAATCATTGCCTCGCATATGTCCTTCAGATCGTTCAATCTCTCCATAAATGCGTGCACATGATTTAAGATGATGCCCCGGTCCAGCTTCCAGCCAATCTTATGCAGGTCCAGTTGATGCAGCTGCTCCTCATAGGACTGGCAGCACTCCAGGGACAGATTGCACATCTTAATGCCGAGCCTCGGACGACCTTCCAGTATCTCGTCCAGATTTATTTGGCTGGTGCAATACTTAATAATCTGATTGCTCAGATTGCGAAAGAGTGTAGTGATGCGATCGCTGCTCTTATAATGCTCCGATTGCTCCCAAACGAAACGCAGCAGATGAAAGATGTGCGGCAACTGTTGCGACACGTCTGCCAATGATTTGGACTCATCGATCTTGGCGCAGGGCTCGATAAGCAAATACAAATATCTTAGGTTTGACGTGGCCAACTCTTGCTCCAGCTGAGCGGATGAGAGCAGCTCCTCGATTTGTGGCATGTGCACCGATTGCCATTGACGCAGCACCTTGAACACACGCTGCACATCGAACTGCTCCAGCTGGGAGTTCAAGCCCTGCAGCACCTCCACTGCAAGTAAACATGTTTAAAACATATATTAAAATGTATATTTAATTACATTAAACACTTAAGGTACTTCAATAGAAATCTTAATCTCAAAAACTAGAAAAGTAATTTTGCTTTAGGGTATTTTCTAGTCAGTCTTACATACACTGCCCCCTCGCATATTAATACCCACATCGATATTCCCAGAACTCGTATTCGTCGTTCATAGTTGCCAGCGTGTTGGCGGCCATCAGTGTTCGATCACTCAGCACTGTGCGTATCTGTGTCGTCCAATAGACGGCGATGCTTTCGAGATTCTTGAACAACGGCCTGTCACAGACGATTTGCTCCCCTCCAATCTGATGCAGCGCAAAGGGCACATAGAGCGCCGTGATGCCACCGATCTTGGAGTTGATGGCAAAGAGGAAGGCCAACAGTTTGTCGAGACTGGCGCAGAACCTCGAACGCACTGTCTGATTCCAGTCCTGGTAGTTGCGGAAAATGGGCGCATAGAAGCGTTCTAGTAGACGCATTAAGCAGCCATCCACATCACTGTGCACGGTGCCAAAGTGAATCTCATCATGGAAGCCTTCGACGGTGAATATTTCATTGGGCTCTCCACGCAAAAAGTAACTAATATCATCAACGGGCTTCGTTGGGAAGCCCAGGTAAGCTGTCAGCACATTATCTGCATAGAAAATTGTGAGCAGTGGTTCATTGACCTCCAGCAGCCAGCGTCGTATATTATCGAGTGAAGCTTCACTCCAATCCGTCTGATTCAAGGAATACAATGTAGTCATGCGTTGTATATACTCAAGCAGTTGATTAAGATCTTCATCGCTGTATGTGGGACGTGGCGTGGGAGGACGAATTTCCTCTTGCGGAACCTCTTCCTTGCGTTCTGAGAATACTCATTTTATTAGTAAAACAAAGTATTTAAGTTTTATTATATACCCTCATCGTCGGATAAATCCGAATCAGTTAGATGTTCATCTTCCACAGCGCTGGAGGAGGTCATATTTATTTTAATCGGTATTCGATATTGTTTTGCAATTGCAATTCATGCAAAAAGTGAGAAAAAAAACAATGCATTGTTGCCATAGTACCTGCATTTCAAAATCCGTTAAATCCGTCATTCAAAATATTGATTGTTTTGCAACACCTAAAAATGTTGGACTTCTAATCTACCGATACATCGTACGAATATTGCACAGGCAACGATACATCGACTGTATTAAATATTAAGTACATATCGAAGCTAAAGTTCATTACTACTACATGAAAGTAATGGTAAAATAAAAATATGTATATGTTTAAGACATATATATAATAAATTAATGCGACTAGTTTTATTTAAGAAGCCGTTAGGCCAGCCATACAAACTCTTTGCTGTTACACAGCACTCGAGAATATTATTGCATACGTTTATCGACATATCGAATAACTTTAGTTGTCATATTTGACGTCGAATTAAAGCGGCAAATTTGTTGTCATCCATAAGTAATTTCAAAAAAGCAAATAAAGTAAATAAATTATTATGAATAACAATACTGCCGCGTTAGAACTTGTCTGCGAGACGGCCAACTCGCTGTTTCCCGAATTGAATATGCGCCCTAACGAGCTGTCGCATCCAACCGAGGCATTTCTAACCAAAGTGCTGATTTGCTATCTGCGTTCCTTTGGCTTTCGAGTGGAGCCGCCATACAATATCGAAAGCGAGGCGAAGGATACGTCCCGAGAGAAGCGCGTGTTCTTGAGCAAACTGTGCCGACAAGTGGAACGCATAATACAAATATCATTTCCAGGCAAAACGTTCACATACATTGACATCATAGATCCAAGTATGAATGACCTGTATACAAATATAAATAGATATATTAAACTATATTCCTATAAATATGTGTTATTGCAGCTGTTAAAAAGACTTCCAGCACGTTGGATGTCCTCTTCAATTACAGATGTTTCTATAAAATGTATAAGAAGGAGATCCTATGCCCCATTGCAGATAAGCTTAAGGAGCGGCAGGATTTAAGTGCAGCCATCGCAGCAAAACGCTCTGAATTGGAGCTGAATAAGCAGAAGGCAGAGCAAATGAAAATCGACATTGTTAATCACCAGGCCAACATAGACAAGATGACTGTGGAACTGCCAAAAGTAATGGCCGAACTGAATGAGCAATCGAAGATCTTACAGCAAAAGGAAATGGAATCAGCTTTGCAGGAGGAGCAGCTGGCGGAGATCAATGGCCAGGTTAAGCAATTTGAGCAGCTGCTGGTCAGGGACACCGAAGTGGAGTTAGTCGAAAGGTAAGTGAACAAAGACAAAAACAATGAGAAACTTATTTAACTCCAATCCACAGCCAAACAGCGCAAATACTTGCGCGTATCGAGAGCTGCAAGCAGGAAATGGAGAAGCAGGAGGAACTCTTCAAAGAGCGTCGCTTGGAGATCGAAGCCAATCAGCAGCTGATCGATGAGTTAGAGAAGGCGATGAATATATTGCCACCAGACGTGCTCAATGAGTACAAAGAGAATCTCAAGCTCAAGGAGCGAATGGAGAAGAAACATGCATCGATAGAATCCAAACATCAAAGTGTCTCAAATAGCAACGAGAAACAGAAACAGCAACTCGCAGAGTGCGAAAAGAAACTAAAAACACTCAAGTCACAAATCGAAAAGGATGCACAAGAGCAGAAGCAGCGTATCGCAGAATCGGAAACATTTATCACTCAGCAAGAAGATTGCATCGTTGAGCTGCAGCAGAGCAAGGCCCAGCTGCAGGAGCAAATAGAGGCGCAGCAGTGCGATGCGGAGCAAATCAAAATAGTTGTCTCTAGCTTAATAGATCACTGAGCGGTTCCGACTTAATATATTTATTTGTTTATTGCTAAAGCTTAAACTGTTTGTTTGTGGTTAGGGACGAACGAGGGGCAGCAGAAATTCATGTATCCATTTTTTTGCTCTCCAGATGTGCCTTCAACTGCTGACTGAAATCATCCTCTACATTGTCGTCATCCCAATTATCCTCCCACACATTTGGCTCCTCCACATCGTCGGCCACGCGGAAGTCTGTCAAGAAACGCATCTCATAATTCAATATACTTTAATAAAAACAAAAACAAATTTTTACCTTCAGCGGGAAACTCTTCAAACTCATCATCTTCCTCTAGAAGACCCAAATCCTCGCTCTTCTGATTTGTGTCCTCCTTATCCTTTTCCTTCTCTTTATCGGGCGCAGACATTTTTAGTATTTGTTTGTGTATGCTAAATTACAATTGTTAAACAATTCTACTTTTTCAACAAATTTGACGCTTAGCCGAAATGATGCCGAGTCATTTGTCTAGAGATGTGAGTAAAAATAACAATATATCGATATTTAGTGTTGAGCAGTAGTTGATTTTAATAAGACAATCAGATCGAAAATCATAGCGTTGCCAGGTAGTTAAAGTGAAATTGGCGCGATGTTAGCTTTTTGAAATATGCATTTTTATATTTTTTTACCTTTATTTATTTTATAACATTTTGACTTGTGGCTATTTGAGTTTCAAGCTAATAGGGTTATTGAGCAGTTGAAGTGTACGTAACGTTAACATTTATAATAAATAGTTTTGCGGTATGCTTTTGATTTATTGCATATTGTTTTGTTTTCTGTTTTGTTGCATAGGCTTCTTTTTCTTATAAATTTGTATTTGGTTGGAATTTTCAGCTTGCCAAAATTGTTGCATTCGTTCTTTTTTTTTATATAAGTTTCTTTTGAGCTTATTGTAAAAATTTTATATGCCAAAATATATCTACATATGTATTAATATAGATTTGTATCTGTTGTAAGTATGCTACTTTTATAAAGGAATAAAACACCATACATTTGAATATAATTTTTTTTTTCTTCTTTTCTTTTAAACTTATTTTTGTTCGATTTGTGATTTTGCTTTGTTTGAATTTCGATTTTTAATGGGCTTCATTGCTATTTGTTTACATCACAGACGCACAACGCACAAAAAAAAATGCAATTATTATCATCAATTAACAATTTGTTTTCTTTTTTTGTTTTTGTTTTTTTTTTTTTTTTAAGCTCCTTTCTTATGTGCTTAATGGGTTTCTCTTTAGAGACTGCCACTTTTAAGTGAAATAAGAATTTCGTAAATAACATAAGTGATCTTTTGTTTTTAATACTAATAAGTGCTACGAAAGCTTTTTATAAATAATATAACTTTGTTAGCTGGTGCTGTTATGTGATCAAATAGTTCAAAAAGTGCTTGCCGTCCTGCTCCATTAAGTTACACGGCCCTTATATACTTCTGTGTAAGTGTGTGTGTTTGTATATGTGTTAATTATTAAGTTGATTAATATATATAT